ATAGGCATGAGCCACTGTGCCCAGCCTCACTGAGTCTCCCTGTGTCACCCAGGCTGGAGTGCAATGGTGTTAGCTCACTGCAACCTCTGCCTCCTGGGTTCAAGCGATTCTCCTGCCTCATCTTCTCAAGTAGCTGGGATTACAGGCATGCATCACCACACCCAGGTAGTTTTTGTATTTTTAGTAGAGATGGGGTTTTACCATTGTTGGCCAGGCTGATCTCGAACTCACAACCTCAGGTGATTCACCCACCTTGGCCTTCCAAAGTGCTGGGATTACAGGCATGAGCCATGGCGCCTGGCCCCAGCCTCACTTTCTTAATAGCATTCTATCAATCACAAGAATTTTAAATTTTGATAAAATATAATTTATTCTTTTGTTGCTTGTGATTTTGGTGTCATTTAAGAAATCGTTGCCTAATCCAAGGTCATAAAGAGTTGTGCTCATGCTGTTTTGTAGTTGTAGCTCTTATATTTAGGTCTTCGTCATGTTTAAAATTTAACTGTTGTGTATGGTATAAGATAGAGAACCAGCTTTGCTCTTTTGCCTATGGGTATTCAGCTGTCTCTGCACCATTTGTTGAAAAGATTATTGTTTCCCTATTGAATTGTCTTGACACCCTTGTGAAATATCAAGATATTAAATGTCTGGGTTTATTTCTGGACTCAAAATTTTATTCCATTCTTATGCCAGTAAATGTTGAGTCCATAAATAAACCTTTAAATATCTGGGTTTATTTCTGGACTCAGAATTTCATTCCGTTCTTCCAGTAGCAGTCTCTCCTGATTACTGTAGCTTTGTACCAAGTTTTAAAATCACACTGTGTAAATTTCCCAGCTTTGCTCTTTTTTCAAGATTCTTTTGGCTATTTGGGGTTCCTTATATTTTCATATGAATTTTAGGCTCAGCTTTGTCAATTTCTGCAGAAAAGCTACCTGGGATTTTGATAGGGATTGCATTGAATGTGTACATAAGTTTGAGGAATATTACTGTCTTTTTTTTGTTTTGTTTTGTTTTTTGGAATATTACTGTCTTAACCACTCTAAGTCTTTCAATTCATAGACAGGATTTCTTCTCATTTATTTAGGTATTCTTTAATTTCTTTCAATGGGGTTTGGTAGTTTTCAGCATATACAGCTTATACTAATTTCCTTATATAAATGTTAGGTTTTTAAAATTTTTGATGGCATTGTACATCGAATTGTTTTCTTAATTTTATTTTTGGATTGTTAGTGTATAAAAACACAACTGATTTTTGTATATTGATTACATACCTTACAAATTGGCTGAACTTGTTTATTCGTTCTAATAGGTTTTTGTGGGTTCCATAGAGTTTTCTATATACAAGATCATATTATCTACAAATAGGGATCGTTTTACTTCTTCTTTTCCAATCTGAGTTACCTTACTTGTTTTTCTTGCCTAATTTTCTTGGATATAATCTCTAATTCAGTGCTGAAGGAGTAAGAGTAGACATCTTCATCTTGTTCCTGATTCTGCAGTGGGTGGGTAGGGGAGGGTTGGAATAGCTTTCACGCTTTCTCCTTAAGTAAAAGTGTCAGCTGTGGGTTTTCCATAAATGCCCTTTATCCGATTGAGAAGGTTCCCTCAGTTCCTAGTTTGTGGAGTGTTTTCATCATAAAAGAGTGTTGAATTTTGTCAAATGTCTTTTCTGTGGCAGTTTAGAGGATTGTGTAGTTTTATTCTTTATTTTATTAACGTACTGTTTTACATTGATTGAACTGTATATGTTAAATTAAGCTTTCGTTCCTGGGATAAATCCCTCTTGGTGGTGGTGTATAATCCTTTCTATGTGTTACTGCATTCCAGTTTGCTAGAATTTTGTTAAGGATTTTTGCATCGGTTTCATAAGGGATATTAGTCTGCAGTTTTCTTCACACGTGATATCTTTGTGTGCTTTTGGTATCAAAGTAATACTGGCTTCATAGAATAAACTGGGAAGTGTTCCCTACTCTTCTACTTTTTGAAAGAGTTTGTGAAAGAGTCATGTTAATTCCTCTTTAAACATTTGGTAGAAGTCACCATGAAGCCATCTGGTCCTGGCTTTACTTTAAGGGAAATTTTTAAATTACTATTTCCATGTCTTGTTTTAAATCTATTCGGATTTTCTCTTCCTTTCTGAGTCAGTTCAGTAGTTTGTACCTTTGTAGAACTATGTCTGTTAGGATTGTCTCATTTGTTGGCACATAATTGTTCGTGTGCCAGAAAAAACTATTATTCCCTAATAGTCTGTTTTATTTCTGTGACATACGTGATATCCCTCTTTTATTCCTGAGTCTAGTAATTTGAGTCTTCTCCTTTCCTTGGTCTAGCTAAAGGTCTGTAATTTTATTGATCTTTTCAAAGAGCCGACTTGCGATTTCTTTGATTCTTTGTACTGTTTTTTATTTTCTATTTCACTTATTTTCACTCTAACTTTGATTTTTTTTCCTTCCTTCTGCTTTCTTTGGACTTCATTTTCTCTCTTCTTCTTTTATTTTTCTTAAGAAGAAACGTTTGGTCATTGATTTGAGATCTTTCCCTTTTTAAATATTGGTATTTTACAGGTATACATTTCTCTCTAAGTACTGTTTTTATGATATCCCATAAGTTTTAGTATGTTACATTTTTTATATTTATCTCAAAGTATCTTCTAATTCTTTGTGCTTTCTTCTTTGATCCTTTATTTAGGAGTACATTATTTAATTTCCATGTGTTGGTGAATTTTCCAGCTTTCCTTCTGTTGTCAGTTTCTAATTCTATTGTATTTGGAGAACAGGAGGTTATATCATGGAGATGACCTTATTTGTACAGAGCCTCGGAGGAGATTATGTCCTGTTCTGGGGCTTGTAGTTGTTATTCTTTATTATTGTTGTTTAGTGAATTTTCTAAACGAATTCTGTCAAATTCATATTCTTTGTTGTGTGTGGCCACTGAAGTCTCTGCTAGGTTAGCCTAGAGGTCAGCTAATGATTAGACAGAGACTTCCCTAGATTCCTGGATCCAGTCGTTCTCCCAGTCTTTGCCAAGGGCCTCTGTATGTGTTCTGGGGCAACCTCCAACACTCAGGCAGGTGGTTTACAACTGTGCAGTAGACTTTCCTTCTTATATGCACAGAGCCTCAAATTTAGGCAGAGGTGAAAGCTTACAGCAGTCTCGAGTTTTTCCTGAGCATGTGAAGAACCCTGGGCACAGCCCTGTGCTTGCTCATGGTCTGTTACGACTCCCAGAGATATCTAGGAGCTCTTCAAAGTCCACTGTAGATACCTCGTTCTCCAGCTTTTCCTTTTATGCTTTTTGGTTAACCTATTGTTTGTCCCAGCTGCCATCTGCCATTTCCAGCAACATGATTTAATAATTGCCTCTAATTGTTTTTGACAAACACCTCCAAGAAAAAGGCTGTGCACACTAAATGAGCTCAGATTCTGGTAAAATAAAGACAGCCTTGAAAATGGTGGTTTCCAGGAAACCACCAGACACAGGTCAAATAGTAACAACTCCATGGGAATGGGCTTGGGAGGTCCTCCAACCATGCTCTGCCTGCTCTGGTGGCTGCTAGCCTGCTGTTTTTCATTATGTGGTTGCATGCTGCTATATTCCAAGGCTACTCCAGACCTGGCAAGAAGGAATAAAAACAGGGAAAGTTAAAACTGCACAGAGTTCACTGTTCTTACTAAGGTCCAACTGGTTTTTTTAAATAGACATTCCTTGGATGCTGCAAACCTTAGGTTAATTCCAGAGGTCGGAAAAAGTTGATTCTGACAACTTTTTGCCATTGTTCTCATTGCTTTTATAAAAAATAAAAGTTGCAGAGGTCTTCCCTCCACCATTTCATTGACAAGCAGGCCAGTTTTTAACCTGCATGTACACACCTACATTCAATGGCTTATTAAGGAAACTATGCTTACACTCAATGGCGTATGAGGCCTCTTTTCCTCCGTTGAATTTTTTGTGGATTCCCTTTGTAGGGGCTAATGAGATCTGGACTGCCAGCCAGGACAGCCACCTTTTAGTCTTGTGCCTGTCTTGACTATAGGACCTTGGGACAAAGGAGCCGAAATTTCCAGAATACCTACTGTGTGTCAGGCCTTCTGAGCTGGGTGTTTTATGTACACTCTGTCACATCATTCTTGCAACAACCTAGAAAGAGATAACTTTCTCAGGCCAGGAGCGGTGGCTCAAGCCTATAATCCCAGCACTTTGGGAGGCTGAGGCAAGTGGATCATGAGGTCAAGAGATTGAGACCATCCTGGTCAACAAGGTGAAACCCCATCTCTACAAAAATTAGCTGGGCATGGTGGGTGGCTCACACCTGTAGTCCCAGCTACTCAGGAGGTTGAGGCAGAGAATTGCTTGAACCCAGGAGGCGGAGGTTGCGGTGAGCCGAGATCCCGCCATTGCACTCCAGCCTGGGTAACAAGAGCGAAACTCCATCTCAAAACAACAACCAAAAAAAAAGAAAAAGGAAAAGAAAAAAGAGATAACTTTCTCATTTAACAGATGAGGAAACCAATAAGATGCAAAGTACTGAGCACTGTGCCTGCTGCACATGGCGAATACTGGATGTGTTGATTATTGCTGCCCTGTTGTTGTTACTTCTAAGCTATTATTGTCAGAGGAGGAAGTAGAGTTGAGATTCTCAAGGTCCTTCGGCTTCCAGCCCAGGGCTGTCTGATTCCAAAGCCCAACCATGGTTCACATCCCCATTCCAGCTCCTCCTCTAGGCAAGTCTGTTCCCTCTCTGGGTCTTAATTTCCTTATCCTGTCAAATGAAGGATTTGGAATGACTGAACTGATTCAAGCAACAAACACTTTCTGAATTGTCTTGCCACTTGGTGACATTATGGAGTTCTGTCTTTCTGCAAGGTCAGTTGTGTAGAGTCACATCAGTGGCATTCTCTTATTTAGCTTGAAAATTAAACCGACAGGTAGACTGGCAGGTGTGTGACCCAGTGTATTTCTCTCCCCCTCCTTTCTCTCTCTGCCCCTCCCCACTGCAGAGGCCAGAGGGGACAAAGTCAAGTGGGTGTTCACCTGGCCCCTCATCTTCCTCCTGTGTGTCACCATTCCCAACTGCAGCAAGCCCCGCTGGGAGAAGTTCTTCATGGTCACCTTCATCACTGCCACGCTGTGGATCGCTGTGTTCTCCTACATCATGGTGTGGCTGGTGAGTATGGGGAACAGGGGGTGGGCTGTGTGCACAGCCCAGGAGAGGTAGGGAGCAGGGTTCAAGGCTAACCACAGGTACTGCTGTGCCACCTTTGGTCAAGTCACTGGCCTCACTGACCACAGCATATTTCTCAGTAGAAAAGGGTTTGAATGAGGGGCATGACTCTGTGCTCGGTACCTGGGATGTGGAGACACAGCACTGTGCTTGCCTTCAAGGGTGAGGGGAGGAGACCAACATTTGCCCGGGCAGCCTAAATCACACTGCTCTGGTGCCATAGGCAGAGCAATATGACAGGTGGCTGATCACCAAGCACCCTTGGTTTCCAGGGTCCCAAGGGAATGTGTAGGAAGGAGACTGGAGTTGAGGGAGATGAGGTTGGACACAAGACAGCTTGTTCTGTGCTCCTGCCCAGGAATGCTCCCCCTCCAACTGATGTGCTGGATACTTGTTTAAGCATTTCATATAAACTCTTTCTTATCCTCATAACAACCCCAAGGGATGGGCATTATTATCCCCATCTAACAAATGGGGGAAATTGAGGCATAGAGAAATTGAGTAATTTCCCCAAGGTTACACAGTCAGTGAGTGCTAGAGTTAGGATTAGAACCCAGGTATTGATCTCCTAAGCCCATGAGCTCAACTACTCCTGTAAGCTCCCTCTCAGTTTGCTACTGGACTTTTCAGATTTCATTGAATGGGAGTTTTGCAGGCAGAGAGGCATTGTTGTAGCTCCTCACAAGCTCCCATGGGCACACAGGACAGGTTCCCATATAAACCTTTCATTGACTGGACTGAGTTGGGTCAGGCCACGCAGGAGCCTCCGTCCCCACTCTCTGTATACCACCTAATAGGGTTCCCACTTCTCCTCCTCATTCCCAGGAGCAAAAAGTGGGGAAGTGGTTCCAGCATGGCTGCAGTTCTGTTGATTGTGAAGCTCACTCTCAGCCCCTTACACCCTAGTGGTTAGCATTGTGTCACTTTATTCTCCTTCTAATGGCTGACAGCAGCAGTAGAGAAGGCAAGTGATCTTGATGTGAGAGACAGCAGGGCCAGCAAATGTTCCATCCTGGCACAGAGGCCACCTTTCACTTAACTCCAGAGAAACCGTGCCGTTTAGCGGGGAACAAAGGATCCTGGATCACATGCAAACAGTGCTGAATCCTAGTCCTACCTCTTGCAAACCCTGGAAGCTGGTGATCTCCTCTATGAAGTAAGGGTGATCATGGATCTCTTACAAGGCCACTGGGAGAATGAAAGGAGAGCCCAGCACATTCTAGGCACTTGGCCAATCCTGGCTCTTCCCTCTCCCCAACCCAATTGCGCCTTCCCCCATCCCTCCCAGAGCATTGCTGGGTTCTGCACAGTGCATGGGAGCCATTTTGCCTGGGCTTTCCTGAAATCCCATGCCCCTGGCCTGTTCCCATGCCTCAGATTCTTCCTCAGGCTGATTAGGGACCTGCCCCTGCCTCTGTGTGTGTCCTTACACCTATCAGTGCAGCAGCCCCCCTGTCCCTGTAGCAGAGCCTCCCCGAGACACCAGCTGGTGGAAGGCGCTGCCCCCAGCCTGCTCCCTTTCTCCTGGTACCTGCTTAGAGCTCTGTATCCCAGAAAGAAGCTCAGAACTGACTCTGTGATTGTGTTTTAGTGAATGAATCAAGTCATGTATCAGGAGGAGCAGAACCACTCCAAGCCTCCAGGCCCCCGGCATCTGCCCCAGCCCCAGGCACACACACTTGGAACACCCTGGCCTTGGTTCAGCTGAATGGGGGACATGGGGACACTTTAACATTCAAGTCCGCCCCTGCCAAGGAACTCATTCGTGTCCCTCCTGACCACTCCCTTTCATACCCTACTCCCAGCCTGAAACAGGTGTGGTTAGACAGTGTCAGAAGCATCCAGTAGTTAGCCACTTATTGAAACCAACAGCCAGTTAGAGGTGATTACCTGGTAGCAGTCAGCTGATCATAAGCATCGCTGAATAATGCACAGTTTGGCCACTGAGCAGTGAGATTTCTTATAGTGCCCTTATTGTGTTGAATCAGTGTTGTGTACATTAGACCCAATTTCAACCTAGTCTTACGTCATCTTGTTCAGGCATTGTGAGTTGAGTTTGCAGCATGGCTGGATGCTCATAACAGTAAATATTAGCCATTTTCACCATGAGATGCAGCCAATGCTGTTTCCATGCTTCCATGATGATTAAAGTCCCCATAACCCACTCCATATGGGTGATGTGGGAGAAGAGCTGGAATTAGTTACTATCTAAACTTCTAAACTTCCTAGAGGCTGGGTGTGGTGGCTTACACCAGTAATTCCAGCACTTTGGAAAGCCAAGGCAGGAGGATCACTTGAGCCCAGGAGTTCAAGACCAGTCTGGGCAACATAGTGAGACCCTGTGTCTACAAAACATAAAAAAAATAGCCATTAGCCATGCCTAGTGTAGTTTCAGCTACTCAAGAGGCTGAGGTACAAGAATTGCTTAAACCCAAGAGGTTGAGGCTGTAGTGAGCTGTGATCAGTCCACTGCACCCCAGCCTGGGCTGTAGAGCAGAGCAAGCTCCTGTCTCAAAAAACAAACAAACAAACAAAAACTCCCTAGAAAAAGATGACAATCAGAGATAATGAAAACTGTGCCTTAAGTGAATTGGATTTGCGATTTTTAATTTTTCTGAATAGAATTAAAGGCCAGTCCATCTCTACATTTTAAAGAAAGGATCCAGTGATTTCTCTTACTGGAGTATATTTTCAAAGCAATATTACAAGTAAAGAAAGTATTTTATGACATTTGAGTGGGCATGAGAATCAGGACGATGAAATTAATAAATATGTGAAATTCTTCTGTAGTTACAGAAAATAACAGTATGATTAAATCCGTTCTGTTAATTGTCAGTGAGACAGGACACCCCAGCCCCCACCACTGTGATTTATAAACCCCACCCTTGTTTCTTTTCTTTTCTTTCTTTCTTCTTTTTTTTTTTTGGATGGAGTCTTGCTCTGTCACCCAGGCCAGAGAGCAGTGGCGTGATCTCAGCGCACTGCAACCTCCGCCTCCTGGGTTCAAGCGATTCTTCTGCCTTGGTCTCCCAAGTAGCTGTGACTACAGGTGTGTGCCACCACGCCCAGATAATTTTTTATATTTACAGTAAAGACAGAGATTCACCGTGTTAGCCAGGATGGTCTTGATCAACTGACCTCCTGATCTGCCCACCTTGGCCTCCCAAAGTACTGGGATTATAGGCAAGAGCCACTGCGTCTGGCCCCTTGTTTCTTAAACCAGGGTTCTGGGGTCACTGGAACAACTTTACTGGGGCACTCTTACCTATGGGTTTGAACTTCAGATAGCCTCAGTTTGGGGGAGTAGAATGGCCTTGTCAGTAAAAGTCTATGAAGAAGGCAGTGCCCAGGGTAGCCTTGATCTCTGCCTATGCAAGGTGTGCTCGCCTGGGCGCCCTGCACTTACCTTCACTATGTCCTGGTGAGGATCCAGCAAGCAGTGAAGCCCCACCTGTCCATCCCCTTCACCTACACCTTTTATTAATATAGCTCTCACCCCCAAGGCTTTGGAAGAATGATTCTTGAATGTCAGTTTCAAAAGGGAGGGGACTTGGAAAGGGATTGTCCATGTCCCCAGCACACTTGTGCGGTTGAGGAAACTGAGGACGAAAGAGAAAACATGACTTCCGTGAAGTCACACAGATAGGACAGGGCCAAGACCAGCCCCTGGGGCTCTGGACTTGAACCTGCTTCCCTGTCTGAAGCCTGAGATTCGGGGGGCTCAGAGGGCCCAGGCTTGGAGTCCAGGGTAAAGCAGGGCTCGTGTGGCATCCCTGGTCCTGAGCACTCTGGATGGTATGTGCATGCACAAGATCTTCCTTCTTTCCATCCTTCCATCCTCTGCCTTCTTAGACTCATCATTCAGGGTTAAAAAAAAAAAAAAAAAAAAAGAGGCAGCCCCACTAATTCCAAAATAACCCAGTTTCCCATGCGTACAGTGTCTCTAATACTGGGAATGTCTTGTAAGTCCACATACTGTTGGTTGAGCGCTCGTGTCTCCACCCGATCCCGCAGGTGACTATTATCGGATACACACTTGGGATCCCGGATGTCATCATGGGCATTACTTTCCTGGCAGCAGGGACAAGTGTTCCAGACTGCATGGCCAGCTTAATTGTGGCAAGACAAGGTACGGATTATGCCCCAGCCCTCACAGTCACACAGGCTGCCGCGTCCTCAGCCCTGCCTGACTTACAGTTGATCAAGCTGTGGCTCTTGTGACTGGCAGTGGTCAAGTCCTGCTATGGAGAAAACCTGTGACATCTAGAAAGCATCATTTATTCAATTCCATCCAGGGAGAGAAAGCTACCAAGATGAACTCCTCCAGACCTCTCTCTAGAAGCCTTTGCTAGGGTGGTTATATAAAAACAAAAATGTTCTGAGATCAGCAGTTAATGTGAGATTGAACAGAGGCCAAACCCAGACTTTATACAGCAAATGAGCTAATAAGAAGAAACGTTCTGGTCCCAGAAAGGCAAAGCACAGGCATCCTGTACATCCAACCCCCCCATTCTTCTTCTGACCTCTAGAATGTCTGTAACATTGGGGTTTGTTTGGTGGTTTTTGTTTTGGGTATCGTACATGGCATGGGCTGAGCAAGATGAGGAATGAGTGTATGGGCTTTGCTGGTGGAACAAAAGATCTGTAGCAAGTGAGGGTTTTACTGACTTCTCCTTTTCTGCTAGCGAGGTAGCATCCCAGCATGGGCATCCACAGATGTTCCTCGCAGCGCAGAGTTTGAAAGTACTGGGATGGGGATAGGTGAATAATGGAGTGAAATCTCACAGAAGACACGAGAAGAGAATAGTGCCCGAAGAGAAAGGCTGGCTTTGGGAAGAGGGACCGGATATTTGACTCCTCCAAGATAGAGCAAGGTTGATTGGTTGGTTAGTGAGTTGGGCCTGAGAAACCACGAGAGAAAGGAAGAGTGGGAGTATGTTTGCTGGTAGTCAGGGCCCTTACAGAGCATGGGGACAGTTAGGGACAGCAGCTGAGGGGAATGGAATTTAACTGGGTGACCTTCTATGTGAGCATGTTAGTTCCCTAGGGGAGTCATAAAAGTGCCACAACTGAGTGCCTTGAAACAACAGAAGTTCATCATCTCATAGCGCTGGCAGCTAGAAGTCTGAAAGCTGGGCATCAGCAGGGCCATGGTCCCTTGAAGGCTCTAGAAGAGGACCCTTCCTTTCCCCTTCCTAGCTTCCAGTGTTCACCACAGTCCTTGGGTCTCCCTGGCTTGTAGCTGAAACACTTCAATCTCTACCTCTGCCTTCAGGCTGCATTCTTCCCTCTGTATATCTGTCCAAACCTCCTCCTCCTCCTCCTCCTCCTCCTCCTCCTCCTCCTCCTCCTCCTCCTCCTCCTCCTCCTCCTCCTCCTCCTCCTCCTCCTCCCTCTCCTCCTTCTCCTCCTTTCTTCTTCTTCCTTCTTCTTTCTTCTTCCTTCCCCCTCCTCCTCCTGCTTCTACCTCCTCCCCTCCTCCCCTCCTCCCCGTCCTCCCACTCATCTCCCTCCTCTTCTTCGCCTCCTCCTCCTCCTTCTTTTTTTTTTTTTTTTTTTGTGATGGAGTCACACTCTGTTGCCCAGGCTGGAGTACAGTGGCGCAATTGTGGCTCACTGCAGCCTCTGCCTCCTGGGTTCAAGCAGTGCTCCTGCCTCAGCCTCCTGAGAAACCAGGACTACAGGCACGTGCCACCACACCCAGTTAATTTTTCTATTTTTAGTAGAGATGGAGTTATGCCACATTGACCAAGCTGGCCTCGAACTCCTGGACTGAAGTGATCTGCCTGCCTCAGCCTCCCAAAGGGCTGGGATTACAGGCGTGAGCCACTGCGCCCGGCCAACTTCCTCCTTCTTTTGAGGACACCAGTTATCAGATTAGAACCTACCCCAATTCAGTATGACCTGCCTTAATTTGAGTACGTCCTCAAAGAGCCTATTTCCAAATAAAGCCAGTCACAGGTTCCAGGTGGACATGAAGGGGGCAGGGTACTCAGCCCAGGACAGTGAGTAGAGGGAAAGCTGGTGAGCACCAGGGGCCTGGCGGATGTTCAGCGACATGAACTTGGTGGGATTCAGTCATGCCAGCTCCAGCGTGATGACAACTTCATCCCTAGTCGTGATGAACAGATGACAAGTTCATCCCCAGTTGCGGTCGGCTGGGTGGACACAGTGGGAAGTCAGTGTGTAGCTTACACAGCTGCACCCAGAGATCGGGTTAGAGAGCGGTGTCAGGGTGCTGGATGTTTAAGGACTTGCAGGAGTGTCCCAAGTGTCCCACGAAGGTCAACAGAGGGTCTCTTTTAGGACCAAGGGACAGATGGGGCTCTGAAGCAGGACATCATCTCAGAGTGGCCATAGTGAAATATGCAAGTACAGAAACTGAGGAAGGGTGAGGCCAGGGGTGGGGTGTGCAGTTGTCCTCAGGATAACATTGATATGATTGACAGGGACTCCAACAAACGTGTTTAAAAATAGCTTCCTGGCTGGGCATGTGGCTCACGTCTGTAATCCCAGCACTTTGGGAGGCTGAGGCAGGCAGATCACCTGAGGTCAGGAGTTCGAGACCAGCCTGGCCAACATGGCAAAACCCCATCTCTATTAAAAAAAAAAAATTAACTAGGCTTGGTGGCCTGTGCCTGTAGTCGCAGCTGCTCAGAGGGTAAGGCGAGAGAATTGCTTGAACTTGGGAGGTGGATGTTGCAGTGAGCTGAGATTGCGCCACTACACTCCAGCCTGGGTGACAGAGAGAGACTTCATTACAAATAAAAAGAAAGAGGAAAAGAAGAAAGAGGAGGAAGAGAAGTAGAAGGAGAAAAAAAGAAAAAAAAATAGCTTCCTGATGACAAAAGATGGAAGAACCCCTGTTCAGAGTCTGCTGCACGAACCAGGAGGCCACGCAGCGTGTGCTCTACTGCAAAGGCACCATATCCGGGGCTCCCTCCAGGCCCCCAGCACAAAGCATGGACCCAGCCCTGAGCATCAGCTTGACCTGGGAGCTTGTGAGAAATGCAGACTCCCAAGCCCTGCCCAGGCCCACTGAATCAGAATCTGCATTTTCACAAGACCCCTAGGTGATTCCTGAGCTTGCTAAAGTTTGAGTCACACTGCCCTAGAAAGTCCTCAAAGGCCCACACAGCTGCCGGCAGCCCCGTTTGTGCAGAGCAGGAAGTCCACTAAACCTGAGACCCGCTCTTTCCCTCCTCTGCAAATTCAGGCACCTTTCTATACCCTGGACCTGCTGGAGTGCCTGCCCCTTCACCAGGGGCAGCTAGCTGGGCCTCTGCAGTTGTTGGACATTCCTACGTCTTGCCAGGCACTGGGAGACCAGAAGGCCAGTTTCCCAGAGACACCACCCCTAATAGGACTAAGTTGCTGAGGTTTTGAAGTCACTCAGAACAGTGCTTGGGGAAGGCTGGGAGGAGGAGTGTAAGGGGTCAACAGATGACAGCAAAGACCAAGGGAGGAAGAGGTGACCAGCTACGTGACAGGCAGGCTGGCGGTCGGACAGAGATGGGCCTACTGTCTGGGTACCGATTCGAGTTGGCCACCATGCATTCCAGCTACCAAAGCAAGGTTGTAAATCTAGGCATTTGTGTTTCAGGTTTGTTCATTCCAAAAACATGTATGTGTGTGCCAGGTTAGGAGAGTAGTGAGGAAATATGGCTAAACGGCCGGGTTCGGGCAGATTCCAGCCAGTACGAGTCTTACTTATAAAAGTTTGCTTTCTTAATTATATGCCTCTCCAGTTACTAGCTTCCTGATTGTGTGGCTAGCTGAATACTGGACAGCTGGACAGGAAGGGGAAGGACGAGGACATGGGCCCCAGCCTCTGATATGCTTCTAGTCTGGTTGAGGAAAGGGAGCTCACCCTTCAGAAACCACTAGGGCATAAAATCCAATGTCCTATGATCCCAGCCAGGTCATGGGTGCTGTTGCCTTCTTCACCTCCCCCTCCTCTTCCTCCTCCTTCCCATCCTCCTCCTTTTTCCCCTCCTCCTCCTCCTTCCCTTCCTCTTCCTCCTTCCCCTCCTCCTCCTTCTTCCTTTCCTCCTCCTCCTTCTTCCTTTCCTCCTCCTCCTTCTTCCTTTCCTCCTCGTCCTTCCTTTCCTCCTCCTCCTTCTTCCTTTCCTCCTCCTCCTTCTTCCTTTCCTCCTCCTCCTTCCTTTCCTCCTCCTCCTTCTTCCTTTCCTCCTCCTCCTTCCTTTCCTCCTCCTCCTTCCTTTCCTCCTCCTCCTTCCCTTCCTCCTCCTTCCTTTCCTCCTCCTCCTTCCCTTCCTCCTCCTCCTTCCCCTCCTCCTCCTCCTTCCCCCTTCCCCTCCTCCTTTTCCTTCCCCTCCTCCTTCTCCTTCCCCTCCTCCTTGTCCTTCCCCTCCTCCTCCTCCTTCCCCTTCTCCTCCTCCTTCTTTCCTTCCTCCTCCTCCTTCCCCTGCTCCTTCTCCTTCCCCTCCTTCTCCTCCTTCCCCTCCTCCTCCTACTTCTTCCCTTCCTCTTCCTTCCCTTCCTCCTCCTCCTCCTTCCCTTCCTCCTCCTTCCCCTCCTCCTCCTTCCCCTCCTCCTCCTTCCCCTCCTCCTCCTCCTTCCCCTTCTCCTCCTCCTTCTTCCCTTCCTCCTCCTTCCCCCCTCCTCCTCCTTCCCTTCCTCCTACTCCTTCCCCTCCTCCTTCCCCTCCTCCTTCTTCCCTTCCTCCTCCTCCTTCTTCCCTTCCTCCTCCTCCTTCTTCCCCTCTTCCTCTTCCTTCCCCTCCTCCTCTTTCCCTCCTCCTCCTCCTCCTCCTTATTCTTTCTCCTCCTCCTCCTCCTCCTCCTCCTCCTCCTCCTCCTCCTCCTCCTCCTCCTCCTCCTCCTCCTCCTCCTCCTCCTCCTCCTCCTTCTTCTTCTTCTTCTTCTTCTTCTTCTTCTTCTTCTTCTTCTTCTTCTTCTTCGTGTGTGATGGAGCCTCACTCTGTAACCCAGGCTAGAATATAGTGGTGCAATCTCAGCTTGCTGCAGCCTCTGCGTCCTGGGTTCAAACAGTGCCCCTGCCTCAGCCTCCCGAGTAGCCAGGACTATAGGCATGTGCCACCACACCCAGCTAATTTTTGTACTTTTAGTAGAGACTAAGTTTTTAAAATTTAGTTCTACTTTTGTTGGCCAGGCTGGTCTTGAACTCCTGGCTTCAAGTGATCCATGATCCACCTGCCTCAGCCTCCAAAAGTGCTGGGATTACCGCCATGAGCCACTGCGCCTGGCTGACTTCCTCCTTCTTATAAGGACACCAGTTATCAGATTAGAACCCCCCCAAATTCAGTATGACTTTACCTTATTTGAGTACATCCTCAAAGAACCTATTTCCAAATAAAGCCACAGTGACAGATCCCAGATGGACATGAAGTGGGGACATGCCTGGGTCCCATATGCTTCAAGGCTTGGTATAAAGAATGCTGGACCAGGTGTCTTCGGGCCACCTGCAAAACACGCCCTTGGGCATATTCCAAGCCTCAGTTCCATCATCTGTGACGTGAGGTGATGCCCCCACGCCGACACCCAGCCCTGGGCAGCTGGGAGCATGAAGTGGGGGACATCTGCTGGAAGTCCTCAGAGAACTTCAGCTGATGAGCCTGGCAGGAGAGATCCTGAAGAGCCCATATGCATCTGCTAGGCCGTCTTTCCCACAAACCGGGTGCCATGAACAACCGAAGTGTATTGTCTCACAGTTCTGGGGGCCAGAAGCCTGAGGGAGAATCTGTTCCGGGCCCCTCTTGCTTCGGTGTCCTTGGCTGTCTTCATCTTTGCCCAGGTTCTCCCTGTGTGTCCAAATTTCTCCTTTTTATAAAGACACCAGTCATATTGGCCCACCCTCAAGACCTCATTTCAACCTGTTACCTCTATAAAGACCTTATCTCCAAATAAAGCCACATTCTTAGGTACTGAGGGTTAGAAATTCAACATCTGAATTTGGAGGGTCACCATTCAACCCATAATAGTCCCCTTTAGGCTTCAGGAAGGGAGCGAATCTCAGGCCTCATGAAATGCTTTTAGAAATGTAAGGTCCTTGAAGAAGGAATTCCTTTCCAAGGAATGGTGCTGATAGAGCAGTTGGAAGAAAGAATATAGGTTTCTGGTGACCCGCTCTTAATAAAAGAGATGTGTCATTGTCCCCTGCAGGTCTTGGGGACATGGCAGTCTCCAACACCATAGGAAGCAATGTGTTTGACATCCTGGTAGGACTTGGCGTACCATGGGGCTTGCAGACCATGGTTGTTAATTACGGATCAACGGTAAGTTCCTCTCACCTTGAACAGACGTGTTTTACCAGAGAGGATAGTGGCATTGGCCCAGTTCCAGCCAGAGGCTCTGGGAGATGCCCTCCTCTTCTCTGTGGCACTCACGTACCCACTTTCCATAACAGCTTCCAGAGCATCCTAGGGATGTCTGCACTTCCACTCCTTATCCTAGCCCACTGGCGTGCCTGTCCCCATCCAGGCCAACTCCTCAGATGAGCAGGGTCATGACTTGAATCCATATTTCCCTGGCCCTTCGTGGCCACATGGTCACCAGTAAACACCTGTGTTTTCCTGATGAGGGAATGCATTGGCCGAGGCATGCTGGGATTTCAGGATGGATTGGCTCCCAGCAGTCAAGAGATTCAGGGCATGTGTGTTTGATTTTCCAGGTGAAGATCAATAGCCGGGGGCTGGTCTATTCGGTGGTCCTGTTGCTGGGCTCTGTCGCTCTCACCGTGAGTGTTTACAATTCCAACACAGATGCCTCATGCATACTTGATTTCATCTGATTCCGCCTCATCACTTACGTGACTCTAAACACCCCTGTCACTTCCCTTGATAGTGAAGGATAAAGGCAAGAAAATGTAGATGTTCACAGATTCTCCCAAGTCCAGTTTCCGCCATGTGCACTGCCACCTCACTGTGCTTTCCCTGGGTAGATAAGAAGTCCCCAGAGGGAGCGAACGGCATTTCCTTCCCGTGGCCTGGCCCCAGTCCCTCTCTAGTGTCATCAGGAGAGAAATCTTCCCCTGCCCATCTGAGCTGACAAATGAGAGGCTTGACATCCCTCAGGATGGCACGTTGGGATAATCGAGGCTTCCTTCCCCCACATGCTCAGGCCTGTGCTGAGCTCTTGACTTTGGCATCACTTTATTCTCTCCTTACAACCACCTGATGAGGGAGGTACTATCATCATTCCCACTGCAGAAGAAATCGGGGCTCAGGGGTTAACTTTCTGGTGTCACAGAATTGGGCAATGGCAAAGCTAGGATTTGAACCCAGGTTACTCTTTTCTGATGGAACTCATAACTTTTGACCCCCAATGCTCCAGTGAGGTTCCTGGGATCCAGCCCCAGGGAGCCTTGATTAAGGGACAAGGAGGAAGGCAGTGGAAGGAAGAGTAGAAGGGTCAGGGAGGAATGTAGGATAATTCTGTGCTTTAACCCTCTACCCCAAACACACACACACACACACACACACACACACACACACACACAGAGCGAGAGAGAGCGAGAGAGAGAGAGAGAGAGAGAGAGAGCAGACATTTGCAAAGCCAGGGATCCATAGGAGGCTTGGAAATTGTTCTAAGGAAGTGGGGGGAAAGATCATGGTGCCACGCTCTGAAGCACAGCACAGGGATCATCCAACTAAAACCCCTGTTTGTCTCTAGAGAAGGCCTGGGCAAGGAGGACCACATGCTTATGACTGGCCAGGAGGAAGTGACGTGCCTGCCTGGGCTGGGTCGGTCCTACGAGGGCAGCTGCTGTGTGTCCCTGAGTCAATGCGGCTGGGCCAGAGACTCACCCTTTCATGGGGCAAGTCTAAGCCCTCTCACTTATTCAGGTCAAACTGAGGGTCTTCCTGCAGCAGCCCCTATTCTTGCCCACATTCTGCAGAATGTTCTAGGCTTCCTCACGTAGGTGTCACTTTTTTATAGAAATGCCTCTTGTATTTCTTTGTCCTGCAAGCCTAGCTCCCGCACTCTGTCCTCCCAGGTCCTCGGTATCCACCTAAACAAGTGGCAGCTGGACCGAAAGCTGGGCGTCTACGTGCTGGTTCTCTACGCCATCTTCTTGTGCTTCTCCATAATGATAGAGTTTAACGTCTTTACCTTCGTCAACTTGCCAATGTGCCGGGAAGATGATTAGCGCTGAGTCGTGGCCCCTGGGAGCTGATCTGGACACCCTGTGACACTGGCGTCCTCCTCTCCCCACCACCCCCAACCACAGGTCTCTCCTGCATAGGCAGCCACCGTCTGTTCTTTCACGCACTGGAAGGAAGAGTCATGTGGTCTTTGTCTGGTCACAGGCCAGGCTGCCGGGCATCCTCCTCCTCCTTGGAGTTCCGTCCCTGCAAGGCTGGATTTGGGGGACATTATCTGAGCAGCTTCCAAGACCCCTGAGCTGCCAACTGCAGAGATGTGTGGGCATCTCGTCTCTCCTGCACACGTTAGTCAGAAGGACTTCTGCATGCAGTTTGTCTTTCTGTTCCACAGGCAGCCTTGAAAATGAGGTCATTTGTAAGCATGAGCGCTCAGAGGGCAGGTGCAAAATAGGAATGTTGTTCTGAAGTGTCACCTCCGACCCAGAGGTGGTTCCTTAGGCAGCAAGTGCTCCTGGGAGCCTCTGACTTCTGCCAGAAACACCCATGGTTTGGAAGAGGCAAGACCTCAACCTGTTGGGGGTTTAGGGCCCATGATGGCAGACATTCTACCCCTTTTCCTGGAAAAACTGTAAGAATGAAAATAATTTTTTCTGCAGAAGAGAGAAAATGAGTGAATATTCTTCCCACTTTAATTGATGCATTCAGAGAATAAGCAATGAAATATGAGAATAAGCAAGGAAACATCATCTAGGTCATCATACTTGAAAACTTCCATTCCATATGAAAGGATCGTGATACAGACCAGAAAGGTCACGAGCATAGAGACACAGATCCTCTGTGCACCATCTTGCATTGGTGCTGAGTTGCCTGGTTCGGGATAGAGAAAAAGGGGAGAGACGGATGTGGAAAGGTGCTAACTCAGAGACTGGAGATTATAGTTTACAGCTGTACTTTCCAGATCTTCTATGTGACAATGCACTGTCCATGTGGGTTTGTCACGTCTTTGTTAACACTCTAGTTTCAGAACTACCCTGTGGAAAGGCCCAGTTGTTAATATGCCCAACAAATTTCATAGCCTGCTGAACTGGACTGAGTATCCGAAGTGCTGGTTAGTGACGAGAAGAGAGATTGCCTGCAGCACCACAGATTGCTTTCTGGTTAGCGGAAGGCAAGTGTGAAAATCATAATTTAGAATATTTATAGAGCTAAGCTTCTGGAATCATGTCATTTACATGTGAAAGGCCACAAATGGGATGCTGACTCAAAACTAGATAGAAAGTTATAAAATAATTTTCCACCACTTCATAGCTCTCAAATATATATTTAAAAGATGTATGAATACAAACCAGGTATGGTTTCTAAAAAAAGAAAGCACAATTAATTTTATAGAGAGGTTTTTTATTTTTTTAATATTTCTATTGCAAAAGTCTATCCGATTTGATGCACTTTGAATATTGAGATATTTTGCACGGATGAATGTATGGGAACTACCCATGATGATGTAAGAAGAAAGAACATTTTTCCTGATTCACCAGACATCGCTTGCAACTTAGTGATGAGTTTAAATCCAGTAGCTAATCCCTTCCTGAGACTCAAAGATGGTGACCCGGGTGGAAATTTCTGTGCTCTTTAGGGCCTCCTGAGTTTCAAAAGGAGAAAGTGTTCATGCTTGTGTCGCTGACTTCCCTGTTGCGTGAGCCTGCCATGGGCCCTCACCCCCACCCCCAGGCTTCTATTCGGGATTCACATCAGTATTTGTATCATAGCTACGCCAAGTTCAGGTTTTTCTCTTTTTTTTTTTTTACCTAGAAATTGGGTTCAATGGTCTTCCACTTGAGGATGAGGGTGATTTTCCTAAGAAATCAGCAAAGCATGAAAGCAGGGACCCTGCAGTTCACCAGTATAAACTTTAGCTTCAGGGACTCCAGAGCCCTTGAGTCCACTCTGTGCCCTGAGTAGCTTAGTTCCCCTGTCCCTCCCATCTTACAGGCTCAGCCAGGTTCCAAAGTGCTTCTGTCTCTGTTTTGATTCTTCAAATGGTCCTGTGATATATGTAGGGATTATTCTCCCCATTTAACAGAAAGTAGTGTCTTCGAGAGGTCAAGGGACTCTAGTTCAGTGGCCAGTCATAGCAGAAGGGAGGCCAAGCACCAGCCCATCACCCCTCCCAGTCCAGCCTCTGAGTTGGCCACACTTGGGGAGTGAGTGTGGATGTGACTTCATCCTCCTGGTTGGTACTTACAGTTTGAGTCAAAACCTCTTCAATATATCATCAACTCCTGGGTTCCTCAGGTCGTATCCTAATATCAGTCCCTATCCAATGCCTCTATTTTCTTGAAAAAAGAAAGACCAAAAATTGTTTTTAGCTATGACAAGGCACAGGCCACGTGGCGCCTGATGGTGTCCCTGCTGGTTTCGATCTCTGAAGGCTTGTGTAGCTTTCAGAGCATACATTTCCTAATTACCCTCCTCTTCCTCAGCAGAATCCATTTGAGATTATAAATGGATACTCTTAGTCTCTAAAGTTGCAGTTAGAAACTAAAATAATCTTTTTAATATGTGATGTGCTCCTCTTGGCTGATTTTCTTTTGACTTTAATGTGCCAATGTAACTTCCTTTAAAGGATCTATGCATCTATTAAATCTAGAAAACTGTGTGTACACTGTAGGTGGAAAATTCTCTTTTTTAACTAAATATTTTTCCATCACAAGTTTAAAAACTTGCATGATTAATTAGGCCATCCTTTTTAAATTACGCTTTCATCACTATGCAGGATTACTTTATTTTATTCCCAAAGCTAATTAGCATGGGGTAATTACTCTGGTACAGAAATAGGCAATTGGAAAAAATGAATTTAGCTCTTCTCATTGAGGGCAGGAAAGAAGGAAAAAACAAACCATTGTACTCAGATGGAAAATGCCTATAGACACAGGAGCAGGTGGTTCCTGTGGACTTCTGGTTTGGAATTTGGCCTCCCCAGGTCAAGCATGGTCAAGGTGGAAGGTGTCCAGTATCTTGAGAACCTGGCCCTGGAGGAAGGTTCTGGGTCAGCTGCAGTGAGAGACTGGTGATTAAGGACACCGTGAGCAGGACAGAGTCCTCACCTTACCCACCCATCCTTCCTGTTACCCACAGCCTGCTGGCCCTTGTGTCTCTTCCCCTTGTCACTCGTGTCTCCTCTTTATGCACAGAGCTGGGTGCTCTTACAAATTTTCTTGTTTTTAGTTTTTGAGACAGCATCTCGCTCTGTCGCCCAGACTGGAGTGCAGTGGTGCCATCTTGGCTCATTGCAAACTCCGCCTCTCGAGTTCCAGCAATTCTCTTGCCTCATCCTCTCAAGTAGCTGGGATTATAGGTGCTTGCCACCACACCCAGCTAATTTTTGTATTTTTACTAGAAACGGGGGTTTCACCATGTTGGCCGGGCTGGTCTTGAACTCCTGACTGCAGGTGATCCACCCACTTCAGTTTCCCAAAGTGCTGGGATTACATGTGTAAGCCACCACACCCAGGCTGACCTTGTGAATTTTCAGCTGCTCATTACCCCTCACTTGTTAGGGTTGTTTCTTGCTTTTGCCCCTGTGGGTACCCTGCCTTGACAGACCCAAGCTGCTGAAAAGGCACCAAGCTTCCCTGACCAGGTGGGGTGTCCTGCAGACCCTGACCAAAGCCCGTTCCTGGGCGCTCCGGGTCCAGGTTTCCTCCGCCTGCTCTTCCCTGTTAATGGGAGTTTGCAAGCCTAATAGCATCAGCAGGAGCCCACATCTCAGAGAACCCCCGACTCCCAGCACAGACCAGGAATTCAGGAAGGGTGTGGGTTGTGTCATTGCTGGATACCCTGCTTTCTCCTCTCTGCATCCTGGGGCCCCTCCCCCTCCTTAAAGCTGGGGTGGACTGAGGGACAGGAGAGGCAGAGGAGAGGATCAGAGTTCATCGCCTGCTGGGAAAAAGCAAGAGCGAATCCCAAGCCAGCGGCTGGGGCTGCCTTCCGTGCCTTCCTGCCACGTGAGACGGGTGACTGAGGCTTAGAAAACTGGAACTCAAAGGTTCTGTTGCCGTATGTTGGAACTTTCCCCCTGGGATTCAGCAGTTGAGAAGCAGAGTCCTTTCTGCCCAGGGTGAATGGGTCCTTGGGGCAGGGGTTGGTCTTTTGTCTCCCACCCCTATCTTTCCTTTCCTTCCTGGCCATGCTCCTCCCTGGCTGGAAAAAGGTGGCTGTGCTGTTCCTGTGATCACTCTCAGCAAATGCTTGTGGCTCAAATAAACAAAGAACTTAACCTGTTAGGGTGAAAATCCTCAGGAGATTGTACCCAAATGCCATGCTTTAAACATTCATGGTCTCTCTAATGCCCTCTTAGACGTGATTTGCATAGGGGATGTTCTTCCCTGGGGGCAGTTAGCAGGCATACATGGGGCATCTGAGGTGGTCCTCATCTTGGCAGCTTTGTTGCCACACTGTGCCCATAGAAACTTCTAGAAATTTCTGAAAATGCTCTGTGTGCAGATCTTGGATGGCAGGAAGTCCATCAACCCCTACCCAATCCTAGGCCCAAAGCACTACCCTTGCCCTCTCTTTATGTGTGCGCACCCAGAGGATTTCCTGTAGCTCATCCTGTGAGCCCCTCAGGCTTGAAGCCTCCCTCTGGGGCTTCTCAAAGCACGGAGAGGGGCCCTTCCTGTCCTTTGGGAAAACCTTCCCCACTGTGTCAGTTATATGGGAACAAGAGCAAGGGGATCTTTCTCTAGGCCTGTCCCACAGGGCAGAGAACATGGGATTTTGCTGTTCACTTTGACCCACAACCTTTGCCAGCCTGGCTTGTGTGGGGGCCCCTTCACCTTGCTGCAAAGAGCTGTTCCCCAAAGGGCCTATCCACAGGGTACAGGTTTTTTTGTTTTTGAGATGGAGTCTTGCTCTGTGCCCAGGCTAGAATGCAGTGGCTCAATCACAGCTCACTGCAACCTGCCCCTCCTGGGTTCAAATGATTCCCCTGTCTCAGCCTCCTGAGTAGCTGGGACTACAGGTGCCCACCACTGTGCTCTGCTAATTTTTGTATTTTTAGTAGAGATGGGGTTTCACCATCTTGGCCAGGCTGATCTTGAACTCCTGATCTCATGATCCATCCGCCTTGGATTCCCAAACAGCTTCGATTACAGGCGTGAACCACTGTGCCTAGCCAGGGTACAGGTGTTAAAAAGGCTTTTTTTTTTTTTTTTTTTGTGAGAGGGTATCGCTTTTTTGCCCAGGCTGAAGTGCAGTGGTGCCATCTTGGTTCATTGTAACCTCCGCCTCCCGGGTTCAAGCGATTCTCCCACCTAAGCCTCCCAGGTAGTTGGGACTACAGGCACACACCACCACACCCAGCTAATTTTTGCACTTTTAGTAGAGGAGTTTTGCCATGTTGGTCAGGCTAGTTTTGAACTCCTGACCTCGAGTGATCCCCCTACCTCGGCCTCCCAGAGTGCTGAGATTACAGGCATGAGCCACTGTGCCTGGCCAAAAAAGACATTTTGATTTAGATTGCTGTATTTGCTTGTTGATAAAGAAAACTAAATTGGGACACTAATTTTGTGCTCAGCTTTAGGCTGGGTAGCTAATGGGAGGATGTCCAGCCTGTCACTGTGCTCCCAACCCAAGGAAAGGGGTGCCTGCCCGAAGTCAGGAGAAGAGGTGCTTCCCTTCCATTCTGTAACCATGGTGGCACTGTCTTTTCAGGGAAGCGAGCTGAGAGGTTTTAGGGCTTTGATTATTTTATGAGGGTTTTAAAACTCCTAACTTTTCAATGACAAATGGCTCCCAGGTGCCATTGTCTCTGTTAAACCCTCAAACATTCTCGAGCACACACTGCCAGGGGCACAGGTGGTCTTTCGTCTTTTGCCTGCATGTTTCTAAGGCTCTTTATCAGATCTCACAGTGTCAGTGTCCAGCTGTCAAAGTTGTGAATCTTCCTCCTGCTTTTAACGGGGCTGACAAAATACTCTCTTCTAGGCTAGGATGATGTCTGATGCTGGGATGTTCTTGTACCGGGACTTGAGGGCACAGGTGGCATCTCTGAGAGCTGAAATCCACACGGTGCCTCTGGGAAAGTTGAGCCCTTGGCTGTGTGGCTTTTCCATCCCTTGGATTTACAGGTCTGGGAATCGGCGGCTCCTTAGTTATATAACCCCAGTGAATGCTGGCCTAAGCCAAACCTATTCCCACTGTTGCTAGAATACAAACGGCTGCTTTTTTTTTTTTCTTTTTGAGAAAGGGTCTCATTCTGTTGCCCAGGCTGGAGCGCAGTGGCTTGATCACAGCTCACAAAAGCCTCAAACTCCTAGGCTCAAGTGATCCTCCTGCCTTGGCCCGCAAAGTGGCCGAGACTACAGGCACATGCCACCACACCCAGCTAATTTCTTTCTTTTTTTTAGAGACAGGGTCTTGCTGTGTTGCTCAGGTAGGTCTTGAACTCCTGGCCTCATGTGATCCTCCTGCCTTGACCTCCCAAAATGCTGGGATTACAAGTGTGAGCCACCGCACCCGGCCCAAGCAGTTGCTTTTTATACAACATGTTGGTTGGGACTTGTCTGTGGACCAAGCCAATAAAATTCTTAATCCTGCAGAGAGTCAGTACCCTCATCACCCCATCACTGGAAAACAAGTGTTTTATGGTATCAAGAGAGGGAATGAGCAGCTTTTGGTTTCTAGATGCATGGTTTGGTGTGATCTGCCTTTGTGCCTAAAGGGAATGTGCAAAGCAACAGAGCCTTCTTTGCTGCCGCTCCAGAATTCTCAACACAGAATTTCCCAAGTCCATTCAGGACAGACATGCGGTCCTCTTTCAATGGAAAAAGAGAGGACTTTCCCCTCCTGAAAATGACTGGAGCGTGAAGAAGGCAGCTCTGTTTTTCCAAACAAGATGTTCTTGTGAGGTTTTCTTTTTTTTCTGGCCACTGGGCATCTCTGCCCTCACCTTTCATTCCTGCCCTCTCAGCTGCAGACCCCATGACCACACTGTCTGCTTCCTTGAGCTTCCTGCATGAGGCTTGGACCTTGGGGACCTGGAGCCCCAGCAGACAGAACTCTGGCTGAGCCATGGTGGCCAGCTCTTGGGGAGCCCAACAGTGGGGGTTGCTGGTCTGTGAGGCTGAGTCTCCATTTCAGAGCACACACTCCCTGGCAGGGCGCCTCTGCCTGTGTCTCCTGCCCAGCAGCCGCCAGCAGGGAGTAGTTGATGCTGTCTGAGCACAAAGAGAGCTTTGATTACCTAGGGAGGAAAAAGGCTGTCAGCGAGATGCAGCCAGGTCCTTGGGTAGATGCAGGAGTTGCTAAGGAAGGGACGGGGCCAGGAGAGGCCAGGCAGATCCAAGATGCCCAAGGGGATGCCAGACGCGGTTCCTGAGGGAGACCTGGGTCTTCCTGGGCCCTGTCCTGACCTACCAAGTAGCAGGTAGATGGAATCAGAGGACTCTTGCTGAAAGAACCTCCTTAAAAACAACCAAAACCAAGAACTTCTGGGGCTGTTCACACATTGTTCGAGATCCCCCTAAGATCGTTCTGGCATGCTGAGCCGCACGCCACGATCTTTGTTCATTCTCTCTCTAATGGACAAAGCAGGAGCATTGAGGTGAAAAGTTGTAAATAATGAGTATGTTTATCCTGCTATTTATTTTTTCAATAACTGTGACCTCCTGCACTGTGAATGCTCTGTGATATGAGATTCTTAGTTTAATAAAACTGTCTTTAAATTTGAATTGATATGATTGGTTACTGAACACTGGCATGAGTTTATTTTTATTGTGAAAAAAAATCTACCGTAAATCTAAACTAAACCTTTCCAAGAAATCTAGCAGTCAGTATTGTAATGCAATATATCAAAATCTGTACACTGTCAATAAAATAAATGAGCACAAGTTGTCTTTCCCTAAATAGAGCTTCTATTCATGTTTTAATAGACACGCACATATTTGTATTTTTGAAAGAATTCTATACATTGGAATAACAGCCATTTGAAACCATTTCTATTTGCATATTAAGAAAAAAATAAACTTCAAAAAGGAGAAGGGTTTGGAGCTTTTTAATGACAATGGTCGGTAATAGATGGAAACAGAGCAGAACTCTCATCAGTTACCTTGGCTAGCATGAGTGAGTCCAGAATGACCCAATCTTAGCTCATCAGCTTCCTAGGATGGCACCTGTGCAGTCACATATGGCCAACATTGGAAGGACACAGGTTGGTTGTCACCACCTTAGACATTCTCCATGATGTTTTAAAAAGAGGCCCCACCTTTTCCTTTTGCAGCGGGCTTTGCAAATTACATAGCTGGGCCTGCTCCTCAGAAAGAAGGTCTACATCATCAGCTCTTATGTCATGGGAAATTGAGGTTTGGGAGTAGAAGTTTCGGTTAATTCCCTCATTCTGCAAAACATTCCTGAGTCCCAGATGCCATGGGTGTCACCGAACACTTTAACATACACACGAATCAGTTGGGTATCTTGTGAAAAAAGCAGGTTCTGGTTCAGCAGGAATGGGATGAGGCCCAAGATGCTAGAGTTCTAGCAACTTCCTGGGTGATGCCCACGTAGTCTGTTGACATCAAGTGGGGAGACGATAGATCAGCCCGACTCACACCCAAGCCTGCTCACAGATGGCTTCTGATCAGTCTGCAGCAAGACAAGTGCAGAAATCAAGAGAGAATCTAAGCATTGATGGAAATGTGATGAGTAATTTTGTGGAATCTGGCTTTGCATTGCGTCTTTCCAGTAATTTCTTTGTATTCCATTACAAAAATATCAGTCCACAATGAATTACAATTCTTTTAAAATATTGTTTGAATCTTGCTCACAAATAGTTCAAGAAGTTCTACTTTAGATGAGAGTTGGCTGGAAACCCCTTTCATTTTAACTCATTCCAGTTCATCTAAGAGATAAGAAGTCAATTACGAAGTAGGAAGGACCCTGTCTCGGTCATTCCAGTGGGTGGGCTTTGCGGGTTCTGCAGGCCTTGTACTCAAGGCTCTGGGCATCCCGGTGTCCCTCATGCTATCTGGAACTTCATGGCTTACAAAGCTAATGAAACAGAGTGGGTGTTATCCCTGCTTTACAAAGGGGTCTCTAGGCTAGCAACTGTGAGAACCAGCCTGAGAAGCCACAGCCCCTTCCATTGCCCATGGCTTCACGGAACAGACAAGGGAGCGGGAGCTTGGCTGAATTCCACCTGCCTGGGAGCTTGTCCCCTCAGCTGACTTCACAGCCACAGCTCAGTCTCTATCAGCTTGATTTCTTTGTTTTTTTTTTTGTTTTGGATTTTCTGTTTGTTTGTTTCAGAGACAGAGTCTTGCTGTGTTGCCCCGGCTAGACTTGAACTCCTGGGCTCCGCTTCCCTGGTTCAAGCAATTCTCCTGCCTCAGCCTCCTGAGTAGCTGAGATTACAGGCACGCACCACCACACCCAGCTGATTTTTGTATTTTTAGTAGAGACAGGATTTCACTATGTTGGTCAGCCTGGTCTCGAACTCCTTACCTCGTAATCCACCAGCCTTGGCCTCCCAAAGTGCTAAGATTACAGGCATGAGCCACCTCACTCAGCCCTGTTCTACTCTTGTAAAAATCAATAAAGCAATAAAAAATCAATAAAGGGAAACTGACATGTGTCATGAACTTACAGACACTCTCCATATAACCCTCACAAGCAGCGCTGGGGTAGGTACACCTCCACCCATCTTCCAGAAGAGAAAACGGGCCCAGAGAGGGTAAGAAGAAACTTGCCCAAGGTCACACAGCCAGCAACAGTGGGGCTGAGACAGGAACCTGGGCTATGTGGTTCCAAATAAGCCAGAGCTTCCTGCTGAGTGCACACCTATCTGCAGACTCTCATCTGGGATGCCAGCAGAGGCCCAGGCTGGGACTGTGGCTGAGAAGACCAATGTGGGATCAGATTTCCCCTCAAACTGACTGGCTTGTTGCCATACCATGATTTCAAATGAACCACCCTGGTTTATTACTCTGAAGGACACTAGAGAACACCACATTTGATTTTCAGAGGAAGTGAATATCCCCAAAAGGGAGAAGTGAGACAGAAACAAATCACATCCTTACCCTCAAGTAGTTACTGAATGTCTTTTTTGCTAAGCAAACTATACAAGGAAGTGTCAGATGCAGTCCCAGCCCTCGAAGCAAAAGACAGGCGAGCAGGATTAGCAATGATTGGCAATTGCGGCGCCTCTCTTAAGCTTGCATGGCAGTACAGGCATACCTCAGAGACATTGCAGGTTCATTGGAGGTTCAGTTCCAGGCCACTTCAATAGAGTGAATATCACGATAAAGCAAGTCATGTGTATTTTCTTGGTTTCCCAGTACATATAAAAGTTATATTTAGCCGGGTGCGGTGGCCTAAACCTATAATCCCAGCACTCTGTTGAGGCGAGGCAGGTGGATCACCTGAGGTTGGGAGTTCGAGACCAGCCCGACCAACATGGAGAAACCCTATCTCTACTAAAAATACAAAATTAGCTGGCTGTGGTGGCGCATGCCTGTAATCCCAGCTACTTGGGAGGCTGAGGCGGGAGAATCATTTGAACCCGGGAGGCGGAGGTTGTGGTGAGCTGAGATCACACCACTCCAGCCTGGGCAACAAGAGCAAAACTCTGTCTCAAAAAAAAAAAAAGTTATATTTATACTATACTGTCATCTATTAAGTGTGTGGTAGCATTATGTCTACTATAAAAAAATCAATGTGGATACCTTAATTAAAATCTGCTGTATTGCTAGAACATGCTGATGATCACCTGAGCCTTTTTGCTAGTGGAGGGTCTTGCCTTGATGTTGATCGCTGCTGACACATCAGGGTGGTGGTTGCTAAAGTTCAGAATGGCTATGGTGATTTCCTAAAATGAGGGGAGAACAAACTTTGCTGCATCTGAGACTCTTCCTTTTGTGAAAGATTTCTCTGTAGCATGCAATGCTGCCTGATAGCATTTTACCCACTGGGTAACTTGTATCATAATTGGAGTCCATTCTCTCAAACCCAGCTGCTGCTTTATCAACTAAGTTTGTAGAATATTCTAAATCTTTTGTTGTCATTTCAACAACGTTCACAATGTCTTCACCAGGAGCAGATTCTATTTCAAGAAACCACTTTCTTTGCTCTCCCGTAAGAAGCAACTCCTCATCCATTTGTTTTATGAGGTTGCAGCAATTCGGCCACATCCTCAGGGTGCCCATGTAATTCTAGTTCTCTTGCTATTCCCACCACATCTGCAATGACTTCGTCCGTTGAAGTCCTGAACCCCTCAAAGTCAACTATGAGTGTTGGAATCAACTTTTCTCACACTCCTGTTAGTATTGATATTTTGACTTTCTCCCATGAATCACAAGTGTTCTTAGTGGCATCTAGAATGATGAATCCTTTCCAGAAGATTTTCAATTTACACTGCCCAGATCCATCAGAGGAATCACTATATGTGGCAGCAATAGCTTTAGGGAATGTATTCATAAATTATAAGATTTGAAAGTCTAAATTACTCCTTGGTACATGGGCTGCAGAGTGAATGTTGGCGTTACCAGGCATGAAAACAACGTTAATTTCCTCGTACATCTTCATCAGAGCTCATAGGTGATCAGGTGCATTGTCAATGAGCAGTAATATTTTGAGAAGAATCTTTTTTCTCTGCAGTGGGTCTTAACAGTGGGCTTAAAATGTTCAGTAAATCAAATGGGCGGTTTACTGTAAACCAGTAAACAGATGTGCTTTTATTCAAGCCTCGTTATTTCATTTCTAGAAATAATGAAATGCTATTTCATTTATAGGCAGAGTTGATTTAGTGTAGAGAGACAGAGTAGCCCACCGCCTCTGAGGGGATCAGCAGCAAGGCTGCTGTGAACTTTGAGTGAACTCCAGAGAAATGAAACCATAGTAAGAGGACATGTATGCCTCAGAGAAGAGCAGAAGGACCGAGAGAGATAACCAGCTTTTGCTGACCTTGCTGTAAGATAGTTGTTAGCTGACATATGTTAACTGAAGTATGAGAATTATAACCACAGGCTATTCTACGTAACTTCACCCTCTCTCTGCTATGTGCCCTGTGAACATATAAAATAAAGTACTCTGAGACAGATTGGGGCAGAAACTAACATCCTCATTTTCCCGGACCGTCTGGCTCTGCTTTCTCTATGTTATGCTTGCCTTTGTGTTTTTCTTTATCCCCCACCATTCCCTCTTAGGTCTTTGAACCCTCGTGCAGCATGGGATGCAGCACGCACCAGAATTTAGCATAATTTTTAAGAGCCTGAGGATTTTCAAAATGGTAAATGAACATTGCCTTCAACTTAAATTCACCACTTGCATTAGCCCTTAGCAAGAGAGTCAGCCTGTCCTCTGACGTTTTGGAACCAGGCATTGACTTCTCCTCTCTAGCTATGAAAGACTTAGATGGCATCTTCTTCCATCTAAGTGTTGAGAAAGTGTTGTGTCTCAACTGAAAATCTGTTGTTTACCATAGCCACCTTTCTCAGTGACCTTAACTAGATCTTCTGGATAACTTGCTGCAACTTCCATATCAGCACATGCTGCTTCACCTTGTACCTTATTTTTTATTTTTATTTTTTAAATACCCTTGATCTGCACACCTTGCACTTTTATGTGATAGAGATGACTTCTTTCCTTATACCTCACAAACTAACCTCTGCTGGCTTCAAACTTCTCTTCGGCAGCTTCCTTGCCTCTCTCAGGGTTCAGAGAATCAAAGAGAGTTAAGACCTTGCTCCGGACTAGGCTTTGGCTGAGGGGATGTCATGGCTGATTTGATCTTCTGTCCAGACCACGCAAACGTTCTCCAACTCAGCATTAAGGCTGTTTTGCTTTCTTAGCTTTCGTGTGCTCCCTGAAGTCGCATTGTAATTTCCTTCAAGAACGTTTCCTTTGCATTCACA